TCCTGGAAGAGGTCGGGGGTCGTGTTTTCCCTAACAATACCAAGAAGCTGATAAAAGCAGATAGAAGCACCCATATCCCAGCTTCTAACTTTAGATTTAAAGTGCTTTTTTTTAATCAGAAGTAGGGTTTGGCAAACACTGTTTTTAGCTTTTTTTAAGTTAAAAGCTAAAAAGTCCTTATTTTAAGCAACATTAAACACTCCTTTAGTCTTTTTGCATATATGAGTTTGAGTGGTAATACCCAAATCTCCGGAAATTTACGGTGTTCTAGCTGAAGTGTTTGGATTGACTGATTCTACTAATTTATGAAAAATTTATTTTCAAAATATATTTTATTAATAAAATAAAGAAGAAATTATATACTTCCTTTGTTCTTTTTTAGTTGCAACATTCACTTTTTCACGTTTGCCAACGCAGAACTTTGACCATCATTATATTTAATTTTGTATTAGTAAAAAATAATTAAAAATCAGATTATGAAACTTTTTAAAGAGACGAATTCAAAAATAATTTCAAAAATAAATAATTCACATACATTAATAAATAAAATGTAGTCAAAGTAGAGTACATGAACAGTGTGTAATTTGCAATGTTGCAACTAATGCAATACGGATGATAGTATAAAATAGCTAAAATGGTCCTTTACAGTAACTTCAGCCAATATAGTAAAAAAAGTAACTCCAACCTTATTATTTCCTATTATTACATAATTTAGTGTGTGAAATAAAAAATTATAAGTTTTGTAAAAAAGGTGGTAGATGAGGTTGATAAATCGAAAAAAAAGGTCACCACACGAGCTCATAATATGTCGTCTGCTTGTATTTTTGTGCTCAATGATTTAATAAAGTTATGCACGACAAAAAATTCACAAAAAAAATGTTATGAAATCTGTTATATTTTTTTGGCAATATGACTGAAAATCATACAATATTATCTATACTTGAAGATCAGGGTCGGTCCTGTACGTTTGAAATCAGTTTATTTATTTAGGCCTTTAAAATTTGTGCTTAATTATTTCTATAAAGTATAAATTTCATTTTTCTATGGGGTTTTTACAAGAATATTACTAAAATAAAACTTATTTACATAAATATGACTATTCGTTACTACAATGTAGTGTTGTGGTAACTAAAGCTCAAAACTTGAACATGAATTACTATGATTTTATTACTCCTCTAGTAACTAATCATATTTTTGTAAATCATCTTTATTTTGGTCATATTTATGCAATTATTTCTTTTTCTATTTTACCTTGGAAAAGAATGAAAATATAATTATCAACACATTACCTTGATTCACAGAAAAACCTTGTTATGAACTGGTCCGAGGATATTTGAAATAGCGAGATGAATGAACGATAGTGGCGGCTATGATGTGCATCGCATCTTTCCGATCGATTGATCGTTTAAGGTGTAGGGAGGCGTCTGCTTCTATCTTTGGCTCTGTCTTTTTGCAACAAGCTCTCTCTCTCTGCTCATCACTCGTTCGTTATTGCTCCCAATCCTTTTGCTTTGGATTACAAGTCGGTAATCCCGTGTTTTTGTCCGACGCTTTGCCAAGGTTTTCTTCTACGTTCTTTATGAACGGGTGTTTGTTTGATTGATGATTTTTCATTGGAAAGTTTGTGATGGAGTATATGGCCCGGGAACTCCCAGCCCACAGACTCCTGCTACTTCAACACAGGCCCAACAGGCCCAAGAAGCGCATGAAGCCCAAAGCACAGCGGCCCAATCTCAAAGGAGCCCACGGTGCACCTAGGGTAGCCTTCGGCAATATGGCCGAAGGCTCCAAAACTCGCAGGGCAGCCAGATTCGAGCATACGAAGCTACTGATAGAAAATGGCAGAAATCAAGAGCCTTCGGCACTTCCGTGCCCTCGACATCAGGGAGCCTTCGGCCATACCAAGCCTTCGGCTACACAGAGTCACAGAGCCCTCGGACGCAGGGAGAGCCTTCGGTTAACAGCTCAAATCACCGAAGATTCCCTTTGGAGACAAGCAACCACCGCATTTAATGCATCGTCGCGTCCAACCACCGCATTTAATGCGGTGCACATGCGAGTGCCGGTGCCACCCCGATTGAGGTGACCCCTCGGCCGTTAGATTACTGACACGTGTACTCTCATCGCATTTATTGCTGCTATAAATAGCAACCCCTATTCCTTTTGTAAAGGGCCAGAACATCTCGAGTTCATTAATACAATCGACTCTCTCTCTTACTTGTTTGCTCTGACTTCTCTCTAGGTTATTCTCATAGTAACCCCTCGGATAAGCTACCCCCGGGTACATTGTCCATCAGTTTGATCTGTTGTTTGGTTAGAAGTTTTTTACTGAGTTCTTGTTTTGCGTAGTGGTGTTCTCCCGTGAGGATCCCTCTGCGCATTCGGTCTTTGTAATTTTGGTTTGCTCCTGAAGTTATTTGTGCTAGTTTTCTGCAAATATGGATATGCTTGTTGAAATTATAGTAAAGTTACTTGCTAGTGCCGGTGAAGAAAATAGGGGGATGGTCCTGGAAGCAGATCCTGTAGATGGGACGAGATCCAACAACGGCGGTGCGGCAGTGCTACTGAATCAGCACCATCTAGAATTCCATTAGTTTCTTCGAATGGGAGTATTCCTTTAAAAGTGGCTGCACAAACTTTTTCTCCCTTCCCGATGGCTGATCAAATCGGAAAGACATCTTTGGAGGTGATAGATTAATCCTCCTCTCCCTTGCCGGTGGCTGTTAAAACTTGGACTTTTGATTCTTTTGTTTCTTTGGAGCTTTTGAACTCTAGTTTTTTTTTATACTTTTGTCTTAATAGCTAGTACAACGATGCTATTAAAATAACATACCATTGTGTGGAGTTAGCGATCTTGTCTGGCCTTCAGGGGCTAGTCATTTGTATGTGTCAGTTCAGAGTTGTCCTAAGCTATTACTCTGCTTTGTCTATGTATGTTTACTTACATTATTATTAATAAATGATTGTTTTTATCTTCAAAAAGAAAATGAGTGTTTTTGTTTTAAAATGGAAAAAAACACATTACCTTAATTTTTAAATGTCTACTAATTAATGCGATCAGTTATAAAGTGTTGATATCTAAAAAGAAACATTGAGACAAATTGAACAACACGGAGTATATTTTACAACAAGATCCGTCACAGTAATAAAAGAAAAGAACAAAAATAAATAAAATCCACAAGCATAATATAAATCTTTAAAAACAACACTCCCTCCGTAATTTTTTTGTTACACTTTCCGTATTTGGCGTATTTGGATGTATTCAAAAATTTGCTATATTTTTCCTTTTTTGTATGTTTTTCTTTAAAAATACTCAACTATTCTTACTTTTTCTATTTTTTATCTTCTGTCTCATACTTTTCCAAATGTGTCAACGTGTAGCAAACAAAAAAAAATAGGGAATCGGTATAAAATATTTTCATGGAGACGTTTTGGTGTAGTGGAGTAATGAGTATTAAAGTTCTTCCACTCCGATCCACTCTCATCAATTTCCCCATCTTCCCCGTTTCTGTCCCCTCCATTCAATTTTTTCACATCCTCTCGCTTGCGCTCATCCAACAAAGTGTTAGGGCTGGCCCTGACCTAGTCACGTGATTGTTTATTTCTTACGTAGTATTTTGCTTGAATTGCGCATTGATTCAGAATTTCACATTTCATATTAGTCCTAATCACGTGCATTGTGTGTTTTTTCTACTCCTGTTTCAATATTTAAGTTACTGCAAACAGTAACCCTATTGACCCGTGTTATTTGACTTATTTGTATTGTCATTACTCTCCCAGGGTTTATTTAATAGATCAGACTCATGAAATTTGATACTACATCTGTCCCAAAAAGAGTTGCAAATTTGACTTTTCTTAGTCAAACGGTCTCGTTTTTTCACTTAATTAGGATGTTAATTTTTAATTATTTTCTAATTTGGAGTTTACAACTTTGAAGAGATTTTAATGTAGTTTTTGAATATATGTAAATTTTAATTATTAAAAATTGAATTAATTATTCATAGGGAGGGTTGACTTTTATTATTGGTTGACCGAAAAATGTTGACTTTGCAAAACAAATTGGGACGGAGGGGTACATAATAAAACTAATTCATGATAATAGTATTTAATATAATTAGCATCGACACTTCATATTTACATAAAATTAATTAAACTAGAGCCCGTTTGGTAACATGTTTTTCGACTTATCAGACTTATTAGTTAACTTTTTCACCAAACACATAATTTTTTATTTTGCATGCTGAATTATGTAATAATAATAATAAAAACTAAGAGTGAAATTACTTTTCTGGTTGTATTGACTGAAATTACTGTAAATGTCCATTTTAATTATTTTAATTTCATATGATCTTTTCTTTATTTAATTAATATAATATATTTAAATATAATTATATTCATAAATCAGTTGATTCAACCAATTCAGGCATTTCAGTTAGAACTCCATAAATTTCAAGTGAATCAGCCAATGCAGTCGATTTTTGTATTACCAAACACGCTCTAAGTATCCCAAGTCCACCGTTGAAATTGCAAATTAGTTATAATATCCCTAAGATATGAACACATTAGGTATAACGTACTAATTAAATGATAACTTAGTGACTAATTATGTCCAAATTTTAGGGTTAATAATAAGATAAGGCTGTGTTCAAATTTTAGGGTTAATGATAAGATAATGCTATGTTCAAATTGGTTTAGCATATAACGGAAATGTTCAGCTCATGCAGTTCTGACAGGAACCATTATATTGTCCGAACTCGTCTATTTGAGATGTTTTTGTTAAGAATTTTTTTATCAAATTTTGTGAACATATTCTTGTTTTTGTAGATTATGCTAAAAAAATTCTTTCAAAAATTCAATCAAAAAATTAATTGAATAAATTATTGAAAGAATTTAGCCGTAGCTTGTCACTGGTTGAATTAGGTATTCGCCTTTTGAAAATATTATTCAAGATTTAAGGCATGCATAAACTAATACGGAGTAACAAGCAAAATAAACACAAATGAAGGAAGTAGCAAAATTCATTTTTATTTCATTTTAGGTATTGAGCTGTCACTGTATGGTGGGAGAGAGTATTTATTCACTCCTTTTCTACTAAAAAAAAATTATAAACCCCACCCAAAAACAAAATCCATAATTAATTGGGGTAGGTTAAATTGGATTTTGATGTATAACTGATAATAAAATATGGAACAAGATATGAACCCCACCATGTATCAAAGTTAAATTAAAAGAATCCACGTATGCTGTATATAATTAATAATAAATCCCCACTTGTCAACCCCCATACCATCACGCCGTCGGACACCACGGCGTCAAGCTCCGCCGCCGGCGATCTTCATCTCTCTCCATCATCCCCAGCTCAAACTCCCGCGAGCACTCCGGCAACTCCCCGAGATCGGCGAATAAAGAATCCTCCTCCCCCACCGAAACTACTAAAGGCCGCATATCTGTACAACTCATAACTTTTGATTCTGTCAAAACGGAATCCTCCTCCGTCACGGCGGACGTCGCCGCCTCGAAGCCGGAAAACCACCCGAACTCTTCTCCTTCCCCGCCGCCGTCTCCGCCGATATGGGTAAACTTGTCATGATGATGATCGGACTGGACTTCAAGTTGGGTGGAGAAATCACTCACTGCTTCCTTCCCATCGTCGGAGTCTGACGCGGCCGCGGTGGCTGATGTTACGACCAGCTTAGACCTTGTTTGGTGCGTCAAGATTCCGGTCATCGCCGCGGTGTAGCGGTGGCTTCTGGCGGCGGCGGCGGCCGGCCAAGGGTGGTTGTGTTCACATGAGTAAGTCACAAGAAGCATGTTTGGATCGACACGGCTTCTCTCCACCTGCTTTTTAGCTGGACATCCTTTTGAGCTGCTACACCTGTAATATCCTCTAGTAACGGTAGAGGATTGTCCAAAACTTATTAAAATTAACCTCTTTACAAAGAATATGTTATTAGATCAATAAAAACTTATGAATAAAAATGTGACTAATATTATAACGGGGTGTGAAAATTAAAATAAATCCCCTTCACTCCCAATACTTTCATATTCAGGCAGCAGTTGCAGTATTGTGGTTACACTCCTCAGCGCAACCGATCATATGCCATTGCGGTGTTTCTCTAAACTTATAGTAAAAATCGCAACGTAACTGCAATTTAACCGCATTCGGGTCTGAGTATCACCATGCCAAACCCGGTCCAATACCAGACCACATTAGACCCCATCATGATCACAAAACTATTTAAATATTTTATTTCATGTGAATGTAAAACTAATTCACGGCAGTTGCCGCACCCGGCCACCCGTACTGGGTGACCGATTTTTAAAATAATAGTCAATTCGCATAAAAAGTCACATTTTTATCCATTTCAATAACGTTAATCATATACTCCGTATTAATGTAATCAACATTTCGTTTGTTACTGGGTGTGGCTAGAAAGTGCAATCTTCGACCCCGGTCCAAATTTCAATTTTCTTTAAAATTTGGGTAAAAGAATGTTCAAAATCAATCTTTATACCACTTCAGCTCAATATACTGCCCTGACTATGCAGGACATAATTCATATAGTGAATTTGCATGTATGTGTACCTGGGATAAGGAGAGCCTTTGATGGGTTTTTGACCGTATTTTCTCCAGGCCCAAGAATCGGACGGTGGATAAGTGATCTCGCCCTTGAGCGAAGATCCATCTACTTCGTTGATTGGCACAGACACCACTTTTTTCTGAACAGAACGACGTCGACTGAAAATCAAAAGTAGAGTAATTCAGTTCGTCCATTTGTACCTTCCATCAATAATATATAGTATGATCTAATTCCACTTTTGATCATACAAGTTTGATGTCATCAATTCTACATCCTTTAGTTTGTTCATTTTTTATACTTGATCATTGTTTTTTGATCATTTTCCAAGCATCTAGGGTGATTTTAACCACGGGAAAAGATCCATTCATATGTGGACGAAAAATAATAATCAACTTGGCCTAGTGTCGGCCAAAAAATCAGTCAAGTCAGTCGTATAAACGCTAGACGTTCCTCAACAGCCCGATTAGCGTCAAGCGAGATTTAGAACAATAATAATATATGTGGTTTAAGACAAAACCAACCTTTGCTTATTAGAAGAACAAGTAGCTGAAGAAGTAGCGATCTTGGTGGTCTCAGGCAACAAGGCGGAAGGCGGCGAGCCGGCGCTGTTCTCCGGCGAGTTTTCCGAGTCATCTTGGTCGTAATTATTACCGAAAAGCAGCTGCTTGCTGAATCTGCCGCCGTCCATGGATCGAGATTCCTATATATGTATATAGTATCTACAACCTTAGATTGAACAGTACGTGCAATATGTGCACCAATATAATTGAGCCTAAATTAGGATTGTCGATCAGATATTTGATGATTGAGAGAAGAAATGGAAGCAGAAAAAGTGGGGATAGATAGAGTTTTTATTAATATGGGTCCGCATCAAGACAGATGGGTAGTGATCAATGTACAGTATATATGTAGTAGTTTATAGAGCTTGCTAGGTCGTGCAAGCAAATGTTGAAATAATAATTCAAGATTTAATTATTATGTTGCAATGTGAAAATGACCTTAATATAGATTTAATGTTGGTCTAATCCAATATCATTTAAGCCATACTGCTTTTAATTACGGAGTATTAATATAACTACTAGTTTCATTTGTAAAATCCAAGTTTTTATTTTTCATCTAAATTTAAAAGATTTTCCATTATTGCAGTGTAGTGAAAGACTAGCTATTTTTTAGCATTGGAATATAATGAATAAAGCAAAACGACTCACAATTAGTTGCGCTTCTTTATTAAGAAGCAAGAGCCAATCCATGCAAGTTTCAAAATGATTTTGACTATGAATCATCCAGAAACAGTCTTTTTAGGCTAGCTTTAGTAAAGAGGTAGGACTACACAATGGGAAAAATTTGGGTTTCCCTTATACCCCATTTTAAATGTCCATTTAGTTTTTTCTATGACCAACCCAAGAACTCTGTCTCGATATGTTTTATTTTATACTTCGTATATGGGTCGATCGACTAATAACCCTTACTAGACAGTAAGGGTTTCAATTTCAAAGGTGACAAACATGAAGTTATGCATGTCTATCAAGGCTGCCAAAGAGTGGTTCTACATTCTACATATTAACATATACTCTTCTGTCCCGCTAATTAGATTGTCCCATTTTACCTTTTCGTAAATTCCCACTAAGATTGTCTCATACCAAATTTGGTAAAGTTTGTGTGTCTCTAAATCATTCTTACTTTATTTTTACTTTTTCAATTCAATATCAACCACACAAACTCACTTTTTAATAACCGTGCCACATTCTTCCATCCCAATGTTAGTAGGACGACGGAGGTAGTAATATTTTTGAACATTTACTAATCAATATACAAATATATAGTAGTATCTCTCTCACACTAAAATCACATGGGAAATTAAAGTGACAGAGTTATTAGGAAAGGTAGAATACTATCATTATTACTATTAAATTCATGAAGTGTTAATGAATAAGAACAACACAAATATATATACTTTGGGATTGTTTGTTTTTCAGCGGATCCATGCCAACCCGCTGCATTTGGCAGTGGTTTGTAGTTCAAAAAGAGAAGCGGATTGCTCAATCAGCCGTTATACAAACAGGCCTCTCTCTATTGTAATTTAAGTTTCCTATGTGCCTTTTTTAGATCCAATATCAAATTTCCATTTCCATTTGGGTAAAGTTTAATGTTGCTAAATCATATCATTATCATTATTTTTTAATAAGTACATCCATAATAACATCAATAATATTCATCAACTACACAATGCGGTTATTTACTTGATTTTCTTCACCTTTTTAAAATCATTCGCCTTATAGGCGGGGTTTTGTGATCAGACTACTTTATTTCGTTATTTGATTAAAAATTGATCATTTTATTTCGTTCGATGTAGGATGTTTCCTTTTGGACTAAAATTTGCTGGTTTGGTCTGATCTGATCTGGTCTGGTCTAGTCTGGTAAATGTCTGGTCTCTGTGTATTTTATAACTACGGAAGTCAACTAGTCAAGTCTGGTCTGATCTGATCTGGTCTGGTCTGATCTAGTCTGGTCTGGGACTTAAAACAGTCCAAAAGAAAACCTCTGTAGTCTTTTCAAACCTCACGAGGACAAGATGAGTAAATCATTTGAATGAAAACTCAAAGTCATTTAAGGATGTGATTTAAAATTCCGGACGCAAATATAGTTAACTTGTCCAAAAATCATGGACGACAGTAATTTACTTTAATTTTAATGAAAAGTGAAGCCTCTAAAGTAGTTATATAGACAACAATAAGTTCATCCCTTTAATTTGCACCGAGCAAAAGAAAAAAATGTTATATTGTGGCCAAATGGGAGTAATGGCCTATTAATCTATTACTCCGTATGACATATATTTTGCATTCCCTACTCAAAATTCTCCCTTTGTCTCTGCTCTTTGTTCCCTCTCGTTCTCTCAAAACATATACTTCGTATAGAATATTACCGTTAATAACTTAATCCGAAGTACTATAGTACTTCGCTCATATTTGGCAATTACTACTATTACTTTTCTGTCATAATAACGACTATTTTGTCAATATTTCTAGTCAAAAATCACCAAAAATACGCTATAAAATTGGATCAAAGAATCACATATAATCAAGTATTAAAAGCAGACAAAATAAAAAAGAGATCAAATGTGAAATTGACGTAAAATCGTAAGACCAATAGTGAAATTATTTCAAACATATACTAAGGTAAGAGATTCATTTTGACAACAGTGCTATTTACATTATGGTGTGACTTAAAGAGCTCGGATGTTTTAACTTGAACTGTTTTCAGTCCCAGAACAGACCAGATCAACTTTAACCCGACCAGACTAGATCACACTTAATTAGATCATACAAAACCAGATCAGTCTTCCATAGTTATACAATATACAAAGATCATACATTTATTAGATGAGATAATACTACCATACCAGACTAGCAATTTTATTCTGATTCAGCTCTAATATCCACATGGAAATTTTATCACACGTAAATGGCAGGCCAAGAAATGCAACGGAGTTGGAAAACACCACTTGGACAATAAGTTAAAATTACAGTTTCGTTAGTGAATTGTCAAAAGAAAAAGGCAGGAGAGAGGAATAGTTACCAGATTTGAATGCTCCTTACCTTTTATCCGTATTTTGGTGCCCAAATTGATACGTAATTGCGGCAATAAAATGCGAAGACTTTTCCTCCGACTTTTCACAATTCTGATTACTTTTTTGCCGGGATGTGTCATTTTTTCACATGACCAGATTAACTTTGGTGGTTGACCAAGTGGATCCGTGTAATTATCGGAGAGCTCATTTAATTCTACGTGTTTTGTACATACGTATAATAAAATGATGTTATTTCTTGTCTATTTCAATAATGTTATTTCTTCTTTTCAATAAGTCTATAATTTCTTCATTTAATTTGTTTGAATACCTTGTTACACTTGTCTATTTCATTTTTTATACAGAATTGGATTTAATTATAGGGTTACGAACGAGTTAAAGAGGAACTTCAACTTGGGTAAACTCGATTTCAAGCTCAAGAAAAATATGCAAGTTCAAACAAGTTTACTACTTTAGTATTCTCGACGGCAGCCTATATCATCATAAACTCAAGACCCTTTCGGGTGACTTAAATGGATATCCGATCCCATGTATTAAAAAATCGAGTGTTGGGTTAATGGCCCAGACAAGGGTCGACCCATTGTCTCCTTAACGAAGATCATCAAGGCCCAACGAGAGGAAAGCCCGAGACATTCATCTCCCGACTGCGCAGCCCACAAGGGGCATCAATCATGATAGCCCGCAAGGGGACGATTGATCAAAATATCTTCTAATCAATTGGGAAGAGGTCGGGTCCCTTTGCTTGCTATCAATTTTGTCTTGTGCAGCCCCTTCCCTTTTGTTCGCCCTGAATAAGTTTTCTAACTTATCTTCTGTGTTTTTCAGCTGCTAAGAATGTATGAGACGCTTCCCATTGGTCCCAAATTAATTAGTGGTGATCAGATATGGAAAGTTCTTTGATGTTTGATGGATTTTTGCAAACAATGCCTTCTCTAGGTATCTCATTTATTACATTCACCACGTCATGCATCTAACTCGTGTCTCTCCTACACGCAATCAAGTTGATACCAAATGCTGAACCCGAAAGTTGTCTCTTAGCAGTAATCACGAGTTCACATAAGCTAACTGAAAATATGTATTATTTCTTCTTTCCCACCTTCATCCATAAATAAATTTCTATTTTCATTTAGGCTGCTTGATTAATAAAAAAGTTAATTCTTTATCAATACTCTAATATTTGTTAATAATTAAAGTTTACACATATCGAAACTACACTAAATGTTGTTGCATTGAGTTACAAACATCAAATTCAATTATGGTAACAGCCTAATAAATAAAGTAAGAGACTCAAATCAACTAAGTAAGTTGATTGCATGAACATTGAATTAGACAAGTGCATTTAACAGTCTCAAAGTTTTCTTGACAATTCACTAAATTCAGTAAGTAGATTTGAATTCACTCAAATCTACAAGTGCATATGGCACATATGTTAATTAAGTTAAATTAGTAGAAGAATGCTATTCTTTGTTTATGTTTTCTTCAAACATAATTGAACTAAATTGGTTAGAAGAAAAAATGGTAACCAAGAAATATATAAGAAGATTACTTGTTTAGGTCGATCTTTAGGATATAAAACTTATTATAATATACATTTTAAGTATTAGATTATCGGATACATGTGTATATATGTTGTATATGGAACTTATTAATATGTATATATGCTAGTTTTTGAATTTGTAGATAAGATACTTGAAAATAAAAATAAAAATATGATATGGATCATTGGTTACTTGAATTAAATTTAATTGTTATTAATTACTTAGAATAGAAAATTTAAAGATGTTTTTATTTATAAAATATATACAGTGATAGCAAATGTTTTGAATGATGAAAAATAAGCAAGTATTTTAATTTATTAATTTATTTATTTATTAGTTTATTCAAAGAAGATGTAACATGTGATATTATTTTTTATATTTAGATTTCAATATGAGCAAAGCTAGGTCATGGATGTATGAAAGGTTTGAGAAAGGAGGATATCTAAATGAAGATTTTAAGGAAGACATTAACGAGTTGAAAGTGTAAGAAAAATAAATGGTTGACTTGGGATATTGTTAAGCAACATCTATTTTTTGAGAAAGGTTTTGATAAAGATTACTATGTATGGGTAGCACATAGGGAGACATACAATTCAAATGGGTTGGTTTATCTGGATCACGACAGCTCATCTCATGGCAATGTATCTGAGGTTCAGTATGATCCGTATAAATTGGTATTTGAGGATGCAATAAGGAACGAACTCCCAACAAGGAATGAAGATGATATTTCTCTGCATGATGATGAGCATGGTACAACGGCAAAGAAAATGTATGA